AAGTACAGGGAGAAGCCAGGTTTGGGTCATGTCGATTCCCAGTTCTTCTCCCAAGAAGCTGGTACACTGCTAGGACCCAAGGCCCCTGCGCGTGCCCTGGACAAGCCTGCGGGCCATGGGACTATCACATGATATCTGTCTGCTCTCACACCTCTGACCTGGCCCAGGCTATCAAGGTCCCAGCAGGGTGGTTAGAGAGCCAGTGCTGGGGTAAAAAGCTGGCTGCCTCTGGTCTGCTCTCCTGGAACCACACAGAGCCAGAGGCCACGCTGTGACCTGAGCCTGAGCCCAGTTCGCAAGCCAAGAAGGTGGCACCAAGAGTTGGGGACTTCCTGGTGGGGCATAGAGCGGAGGGCTTCTCAGGAGCCAGGACAGCCAAAGTGAGGTGGAGCCTGCTGGGTTGGGGGTGTGGTTCGCCCCCTGTTAAACTAGTCTGCCTCAGCCCCTCCCCTGCCAGGGCCATCCTCTGCCCCCTGGCTTCGTCCCCAGCTGGGCAAGTAGGCAGCGACTGTGAGGTCCCTCCAGGTGGGGAACCTGCCTTGGAGCTGGGCAAAAGAAAAGAGGGCATTTTTCAAGGATTTTGCTGGCCCTTTTTTTTTTCTCTGAAATATAAGGATGTGCAATTTTTTTGGTTTCAATTTAGCATTGGAGAATTTTATAATTTAGTAATTAAAATCTCTGATAGGCTTTAGAAATTGCGGCTAATTGAATTTAATGGGAAGATGATTTTCAATTTTATTTGATTACCGGGACCCCTGGCATCGGTATTTATGGGAAAAAAATGGGAAATGTGCTGTGTGGGCTAAGATGGCATAATTGAATTAGGGATAATCGGATTTCTCCGTCATGAATTTCACTATAATTTTCCTATAATTTTCCATTAGATATCTAGTTTACAAATATTCACAAAGAAATGAAGCTCTTTCGGAATGGAGATTGCTGGCTAACAGGATTACGGGGCCGAGCGTGCGGCTGTGCCAGCCCCTATCCTGCCATAATGCAATCCCCGTGTCTGCCTTACACTTAGCGTGGCCCTCGCCTCACCACCCACTCTGCTGCTCTTCTCTCCCCTTTGTTTCCTTTTCATCCTTGTTTCTCCTCTGTCCTGACACCCACCTGTCCATGGCCCACGACCTCCCGTGCCTGTGGCCATGCCATGGTGCCTTGGCTGGGCCCTCCCATGGCCCTCCCTCCCTGCACTTCCTGTCCACTTCATGAGCTCACCGCTCTCCCCAACACCCCCGCTCCATCGGCCTGGGGACTGCGCTCACACGCAAACACACAGACTCCCTCGCAGGTGCAAACATGCTTGTTCACATGCACACGAAGTCCTTTGGCCAAGGCTTCTGTGCCCTGGCTCAGTCGCCTCAGATGGAACCAGTTTATTGGGATCCTGGGGTGGGGTGCAGGAACAAAAGGAGCTTTGTTCAAGTTTATGTGAAAGTTACAAATTCAAAACGAGAGCAGATAAAGCATGAGATACCTGGTGTGTAAACAGGCTGGTGAGTGAGAAGGCCCCGGGCTCAGGAGGGAGAGAGAATGAGTGGGCAATCTGGGGGTGTGTGGGGGGGGGACGGGAGCCAACAATGGCAGCTTGACTCAGGGAGCAGACAGCTTTCTGTGGTACTGATGTGGGGTGCCTGGGCAGTGGGGTGGCTGTGTAGGTTTCCAGTCTTCTTTTTCTCTTGGGGGTGCGGTGTCTCAGGAGGAGCTGGAGGCTCCAGGTCCGGGCCTTGAGACGAGGAGAAATTGTGGCATTGGGCTTTCCATCCCTCGAGTCCTAGGCATGAATGTTCTTGCTGCAGCTGGCCTCAGGATCTCAGGTGTCACCACATCAGTGTCCTCAATGCAAAAATGGGCCATAGTCTTAAGAGATGCCTCAGTGCTTGGCCTCTCCCCTTGGCATGAGCATACACACTCAGAGAGAGACAGAGCAATCTGGGGACCCCCCCCATTACACAGCCTGGAACTTGCACCCCAGATCTCAAGGCCTCAGCCTTCTTCTCAGACCTTCTTAAATCCTAACAGGCCATATTGGCCTGTTTCTCTGCTTTTCTGACCTGTTTTCCACCAAAAGCCCTTTGCTCATGGGTTGGGCAGGACCTACTCAGCCTGCAGTGGCCGATGGTGGCCACTGACTTGTCAGAGCAGATGCTGTCCAGGCAGCCCCTGCCTTCCTCCACAGCTGGCTGCCTTCCTCCCAGCTCACTCCAGTCCTGCCCCTGTGGCCATTCTGTTGTCCACCAGAGGCCCCAGATTTATTGGGTAACCAGTCCAGGTGGCCTTGCTTAGGTAACTGGAGAGAAGACACTTTCCTTGCCCTCTCCATGCCCTCCTTGGGGGTCAGTCCCTGACCACCATCAGCGGAAGCCCAGAAGACACTCAGAGCGGGCCAGAGGTATATGGGTCATGCACGCAGGGAGCTCCCCATCTGTGCAGACATCTTCATATGCAACCAGAATCACCCCTTCCACCCCATGTCTTCGGGCTCCCCTCTACACCTGGTTGCCCAGACAGGAAAGCAGAGGCTCAGGATAGGGGTGTGGGCCTGTTGTTACAAGCCAGAGCTACAAGGGGGCAGAATCCTTGCTTTGGGGAGTCACAAGTGGCAGCACCCAGAGGGGTGTGTGTGTCCGAGAGCAGTCTGTACACAGATGCCCTCTGAGATTGCGTGTGGGGAGCAGAGGCACATGGCCCTCTCTGCTGGATGCCCTGTGCCCTGGCAGTCACACGCCCATGCCCAAACTTTGGGTAGCTCTGTTCCCTTATTTAGGGTTGTAGGGCCAGCGGAAGCTCAGTAAAGCTTCTGGGACTCCCTAGGTGCTGTCCCCGCGTAGGGATAGGAACAGGCCTAAAGGGAGGGTTGTGTGGCAGGCAGGAGTGGGGGTTGCCAAGAAGGGTGGTCAAACAGGAGGAGGAATGCTAAAGTCCCTGTAAGGCCATGCACAACTATAGGGTGATCAGAAAAAAAGAAGAAAAATAAGGGAAAAGTAGGAGAAAGAGTAGATTGTTAACTCTCTGATGTCTTTGCCCCAAGGCCTCCCTGGGCCCCTCCCTTTGCAAAATAGAAATATTGCAAAAATAGGCCAGCGCCATTTTGCTGAATGCTGTCCAAAGACCAGGGAGAGCCTGCCCTCGTCTGAAGGCAATGCGGCCCCTTCTGAAATGGGAGAGCTGGGAGAGCCCCGGGAAGGCAGCAGGATGGACAAAGAAGGGACAGGGAATGAGAGCCAGTGACAGCGTGAGCCACTCCTGCCTTAGCAGAGCTGCCCCAGATCCTGCTCACCGGGCTAACTCTGTCCTTGAGCCCCTCCAGACTGGGTGGGTAACTTGAGTCACCAACATTTACGGACTCTCAACACATATGGCTGCAGCAGGGAGCAGGGGCTGGATGGGGATATGGTAGAGGGACCCACCAAACTGCCTTCTCTGGGAGAGGAAGAGGGGCAAGGAGAACACCAGGGCCTGGTCCAGCCAGGAGCGGGCAGGAAATGGGGCCTGACCGCAGGGCAGAGGGGGAGCAGGTAGCGGGAGGCAGGCACTTTGGTTGAGGGGGGCCTGTGCTCTGTCTGCTGGGGCCCCTCCTGGGAGCAGGGGCCGGAGGGACCTGATGGCCTGGCCCCAGTCGCGTCAGGCTGTGGGGCTAGTGGCCCAGCTTCCAGGGCAGAGGAGAAAGGCTGGGAGTCCCGGGAGGCGCACACTTGGTGGGGAGAGGTGGGCACATTTTAGGGGCAAACCGAAGCAAAGCGTCAGAAACCCCAGTGCGTGTCCCAGCTTGCACTCCTTCGCGGGAGCGCAGGGGCTGACGCGCGTCTTTGCCGACCGCTCTGGGACTCCACTATCCTCGAACTCAAAAAGCCACCACAACAAAATCTGGGAACCCGGCTATGAGGGGAAACAAAGTCACTCTGATACCCCCAAGGTGCCCCAGCCCGCCGGGAGCGCGAAGGGGAGCACGAGAGCGCGCGGCCGGCGGGCATGGCCCCGCAGCCCCTCACACCTGCGCCCGCCCGCGCGGAAAAGTTTCAGCGGCCGCGCGCGGCGGCCGTCGCTCGCGCTCGCGCGGCCGGAGCGGCTGAGGGGAGCGTGCGAGCGCGCGGCCGCCGGCGGCCGGTGAGAGTCGGCGCGTGTGCGCGAGCGCCGTGCCCGCGCCCCGCTCCGGCCGCGCGAGCGCGCGCAGAGTCCCCGCCTCCCTCCTCCCTAAGGCAGAGGTTTGGGGAATCACGGAGCCAATAAGGCCGCCCGCCCGCCCGCCCGAGCCGGTGCGCGCGCGCGAGGAGGGAGGGAGGGAGCGCGCGGCGGCGCGGGCGAGCGCGAGCCCATTCACTGGAACACCCGGCCGGCGGGCGGGCGGCGGCGGCGGCGGGGGCGCGCGGGGGCGGGCGGGCGGGCGGGCCGGCTCTGATCTTTCACCTGCCGGGAGCCGGCGCGGGCCCGGCCGAGGAGGCGGCGCCGCGGCCGCCCTGCCAATCACCGCGGCGCCTGGCAGCGCCCCCGGCCGCTCCCTCCTGCCAAACTGTTACCCTGAGTGTTACCGTCAGGAGCAATGACATCAGGGTTTTAAAACAACTTGTTATTCGGGGAGTAATCAGTTGCAATTAGGCATTAATTAAGTATTATGAAAGTTGATTATTTAAGTGAATTCGGCTTTCGACTCTCCGACTATGGTGAGTACCGGCGCGGGCGGGGGAGGGCCGGGGCTGGGGCGCGGGCGGGGGCCGGGGGCGCCCCTCGGCCCCGCGGTCGGCCCGGCGCCCCGGCCAGGCCGCGGCCGCGGAGAGTTTCCGCTGTAGTTTGAGAAAGTCGGCGCGGCGAGGAGCCCGGAGCGCGCCGCGCCGGAGCGTGAGAAGCGGGCGGCGCGGAGGGAGAAACTTTGGCCGCCGGGATGCGCGGGCGCCGCGACGGGGGGCGCGGGCCGCCCAGGGGGGCCCGGGGGGCCTGCTGGAGACTAAACGCATCTTTTTTCTCTCCTGTTCTTCTTTTGGTGGCGTTCCTCGAAGAGTTTGGGACCAGAGAGAGGAGCATGGATCTCGGAACAGGTACCGGTGGGAACCCGGGGAGGCTCTTTCACTTTTCTTTCGGTTCTTTCACGGAAGTTCGTGTATTTTCAGCCCAGCGAGGTGGCGGCCGGGCAGGGGGTGGGGGCGGCCTGCGGAGGGTCGGGGCGGCTGCCTCTCCCCGCCCTGGTTTCTGGTTGCGAGACTTCTGAGGATATTGTTGTTGTTATTTGTTACTTGCTTAGTGACTGTGACTAATTTGATGCTTGTCATTATGAAAGAACCGAGGGGAGAGGAGCTGGGGGGCACCCAGAGAGAGGATTTAGGGGGTTTTTGTGGGGGTTTTTGTGCTCCGTGTTTCTTGTGTGGCTCCGTGTTTTTTCTCTGTGTGTGTTTTTTTCCTTTGCAAAGATCTCTGTGTGTCTGGCTGTGGGGTGTGTGTTTTTATTTTTTTAGTGGGGGGTGGTTTAGTTTTTGAAAGCAGCGTCCTGTTGGGAAAGGTGGTTAGTCTGGTTTCGGGGCGACTGTCTCAAGGTAAAGGAATTTAATTTATTTGGGACAAGGCTGTGTCGGATGATCAAGCTGCTTATTATGGCTAATGAGTGTTTTTCACCTGAGAATCTGTGGGATGAGGCGGCTGTTATCAGTTCAAAGTGAGGGGCCCGGGACTCTGTCCGGTCCCCCTCTTTAGCCCCCACCCTCGGAGGTGGTGATGGACCAAGCAAACTACTAAATTTAGGCATCTGGGTTTGGGGGGCCTGGTGTGGGACCAGGCTAGGGCTCCAGATAGCATGGTGCTGGCCTAGGACAGAGCTTATCCTGAGATTTTGGTGTTTTATTGGTTTTAATCTAATTCTATTTAATGTTTCTCGTCTTTTCCCATCTGGGATTTCAGCCTGAGTCCAGAGTGAGGTTTGCCCTTAAGCTGTTCAGGCTTTCCATTGGCCCTCTTTGTTAAAAACAAGTTTTGACTAGGATCCTCACATCCTAGGTTGACAGAAGCAGCTATCTTCTTCTTAAAGGTTTTAAAAGAAAGAAACAGGTAGATAATTCATTGAGACTGATCTCTGAACCCTTCCATTTCATTGATAAAAGGGTAGGTGGTATTGGTGGCTGTTAGCGTTGTTGTTTGTAACAGGCCCAAGTTCACAGCATCACCCCTTGGGACCCAGGAGCTGACATATGACCTTCTGAGGTCAGGAGAGGGCAGGAGGCAGCACTGAGGGTCCCCTGGTGGGTGGCATGGTGGCTGGCTTTAAGAAGAAGGTATATGCTTATGGGAGAGGGTGTTGTTCTCAAAGTTTTAAGACTGTCCCACCAGGTGTGATCTTGGCTAACCTGATGTGGAGGTCCTCAGGACCTCTGTGCCCAGGAAGGGTGTGACACCCTCTGCTGGGCAAAGTGGTGAAGGTATCTAAGGCCGCTGATGCCACCCTGCCCCTCCCTACCCTCCACTCCCACAGGGAACCAGCCCGCCCCCACCTCTAATCAGGTGTCTCATCACCTCCCTCTCAGGCCCCACCCCCTTTCTTTGGAAATTGTGCCCCCACCCATCCCAGCCAAGAAGCAGACCTCAGAGATGGGTCAGGCAGGAATGCACCACCCCCTACCTGGGGCAGGGAGCCTCTGCTTGTGGGCGGGCACATGGGACCCAGGCATTACTCAGCTGGAAGGCGGGCCTTCCTGTCTTCCTCCTCCTAACCTGGGTGCTAACTGGGGCTGGCGTCCATCCTTCTTCCATACACCAGTCTCTCTTAGTCTGTCATGGGGACACTACTCCAGAGCCCTTCTGTGGGCTGTCTGGACTGGAGTGAGGGCCTCTCAGGCCTGGCAGGAGGCAGGTGGCAGAGCCTTTTATGGCATCCCTCCTGGGCCTTGGGGAGACTTACTTCTCCCAGCACTCCAGGGACAGGCTCTGGAAACTTTTCCTAGAAGCCAGAAGGGCCCCTGAGGTCAGCTGGTCCCTTCTATGGCTGGAGCAGGACACTCCCAGTGGGACCCAGGCCTGGACTCTGGCCATTCAGGGAGGGGAGGTCCAGGGTGTCAAAGTTCTGACTGTTTCCCGGAGGAGTCATCTGGTGATACCATCTCAGCCTCTTCTTTGAACTTGGAAGTTTCACTTAATCTCAGAACTTCAGAGGAAAAGTACTTTTTCCCCCACTTCACAAAAAAAGGGAAGCAGATGAGGCCTCTGAGATCCCTTCTGAGCCTGTCTCTGGGCCAACTCCATGCTCATCTTCAGGAGCTTGGAGTGGCTCCCTCTACCTCTGGAACACACAGGGACACAGCCAGGGCCAGGGGTCTCATCTCTGACCAAGCTCCTTGCTGGTGAGAGGAGGGGCTACATGGGCAGCCTCAGGCAAGGGCCCCTCCAGCACAGGACAAGGCCAGAGGCACAGGCCCCAAGGGGTTCCTGGCCTTGGGACCCAACAAGCATCAGATCATAGGTTACCATCTTCTCTAGCCCTAGGCTCGTCTAGGTCCTGAAGCACTCCAGCCATGAGTAATTCAGTGGCGAGAGAAGCAAGGCTCCTCAAGAGGGGACAGCAGGACCTCAAGACCCTCAGGGACCATGTGGACCTCTTTCCCCCACCATAGTTCAGCCAAGGGCTGGATCAATCTGGACGTCTTTAGCAATAAAAAATGCCGATGTCGTCCTAATTCACCAGGCCCCGAGATGACAGCAAATTTACATTTTTTAATTAAACTAGCAGCCAGTTTTTATGAGAGGGGGTTGGGTTATGCAAATCAAATGGTTGTGTACGGAAGATTAGGAGAGTTTGGGAATAAATTCCACAAATGCTAATAAAAAAAAAAAAAGGAAAGAGAGAGGGAGGGAGGGAGGAGAGAGAGGAAGAGAGGAGGACATAGTTCCATTAGGCCCTTTTAGAGTGATTTCCCTGGGGGAGGGAGGGGGAAGGGGAGATGGGAGGAAGCTTTCAGACACAGGTAAATCCATCCTGCAGTTGGGAAGCTCCCCGGGATTAGGCTCCCACTAGGCTGGTTCCTAGGCCCAGAACATAACTGGAAGCCGGGGTGAAAAGGCTGTGAAACAGTAGTAGAGTGTTGAGAAGGAACTTGCCCTTGACTGCTGAGGACCTGGTTGTAAGTGCCCTTTCTCTTCTTGAGAAGGGGAGGGGCTGATCAGGACTAGAGCTGTCCAGTAGAGGATCCAAGGTGGGCTCTGCCAGGTAAAGGCCCAAATGGGCAAGAAGGTGCATTCAAAGGGATGGCCTCAGACCACAGAGGAAGCCAGTGAGGGGCAGCACTGCCCGCGTGACACTGTGGCTGCAGCCCTGTTGTCAAGGTGAGTCAGCAGGGGGGACTGGGTGCCACTCACTGAGCCAGGCCTGCTTCTCTTTCCTGCTGGGCCCCCCTCTTTCCAGTTGGGACCCCCCCACATGCGAGGCAGAACCCCCATGGATACTGGCCCAGGCTTCAGCTATGGGAAGGCCAGGAAGGGTGGGGTCAAGGGCTGAGCCAATTTGGCTCATTAGCCTGGTTCTTGGAGTGGAATTTCCTAGTAGCCACATGTTTTGAGAGCACACAGTCTTGAGGGAGGAGAAGAAAGGCTGCAGACTTCTTCCAGGTGGTACCTGACCCCAGGGAGCAAAGAATTTGCCTCCCCCAACCCAGGCCCAGTGTACTGCTCAGGGCCTTGCCGCCCTGCGTGTCAGCCCACCTCCAGAACTCCTGTGAGTTCTGTCAGCGCACTCCAGAACTTCTGTGAGCTGCCTGTTCAAGGCCAGAGCCTTGCCAAGAGTGCAGGCTTCTAGGAACCTCACTAGCTGTGGTTATGCCTTTGACCCAGCATTCACTCGGGATTGGGAAGGTTCTTGTGCTGTTTCTGGAGGAAGAGATTCCATGCCAGGTTTAAGGTAGAGCAGATAGCCCTCAATTTTCCTTCCTCCAGCTTTTACTTGGCCAGATACACCCACTCAGCCAGTCTAAGATGAGACCAGTCCCTGCAGTCAAGTTGGGCACCAGTTTTGCGAGTCTGCTGCAAGGGTAGGTGCTCTGGTGCCATCTTTGCAGGAAGGAGCTGTCAGAGCCAAGGACAGAATGGGCTGTCTCGAAAGCAGTGAGTCTCCTGGTACCATTAAAACAGAGGCTGGCTGTGCACTGGTTAGTGATGTTTGGAGGGACTTGAGTGTCAAATAACCTTCAAGGTCGTTGGTTCTCCCTCTCTCAACTTGATTTTTATTCAGTGGGGCAATCTCGAAGGGGAGGAGTTGAGTGGACAGGGAGAGAAGCACGTCATTTGGACCTTACCTTTGGTAGAAAGCATTAGAGACCGGCAGCTCTGAGCTGTGAAGTGATTCTTTGAATCAGCCCTAGTACTAGTTATGGGAGGACTTCAGAGCCAAACTCAGTATGAAAGGCAGAGACAGGGAAGGCAGGTCCGAGAGGATCCTGTGGGAAACCCCACCCCAGACCCTTTTTCCCTGGTAGGCGCCAGCCAGGGGGACCTATAGCTCTCCTCTCCAAGGAAGGCACTGGGGCCAGTGTTAGTCAGAACTCTATACCAGCCTTCACCGGTACTGCCAGTGTTCCTCCACCCCCCAGCTGGGGAATCTGGCTGAGTTGCAGCTTGGGTTTTTATGATGGAAAAATAAAATAAATGGAGGCACCTTTGGAGGCTGAGTCACGGCAGCAGCATCTCCTCATTAAAGCTGCTGCCCCTGGCTCAGGTCCCTGCCCACTGCCCGGGCAGGGGATTGGGTGGGGCTTGGGAAGGCTCCTGGCCCTGACTGCTCTTCTTTCTGGATTCTGTCAGGTTAGTGGTGCGCCCCAGTCTCCTCTCTGGTTGGCCCACCATTCTCAGAGGGTCAGGCCATTTCTCCACCCCGGCGCATCCCCCCAGGCCCCAAGCTTATCTATTAACACTGCCCTCCTGGGGCTGGACTTTAAACCTTGACCACCCTGGCTGTGGCCACCTCTTCCTCCTCCTTTTCCTCTTCCTCCTCATCTTCAGAGGGGGAAGGAAGTTGCTCTGTAGTAATTACTGCCTGTGGGTCCCCAAGGCAAGCAGCAGCTGTTCT